TGCACATAGACAAGTCAACCATTTAGGGAATGTCTGTCTAAACACTAGTAATAGGAGGCTGGCTAAATAGGCCTAAATTCACCTAACCTCTCTCATCTCCCTTTGAAACCAAAAACACCCAGAGTAACTCAGGAATTTTGCTAGCACAACATTATGACTCGGTTTTCTAGAAGCTTGAAGCCTCCACTTGTCCTGAACAAGGAAACGCAGAAATTTCACAAGCAGATCATTCTATAATGAGATGGCTCCCCCACGTGGGAACAGTTATCCCATAGTGGGATAAATGGTGTTGGTGCCCCATAAGCAGAGCAATTTTCTCACGGGAAGTGGATTGCTGCCCCAAGCTGTGACAGACAACAACCTGACTCAAGGATTCATTAGAACAACTCTTTTCTCTGGACTAGAACTGAGATAAGATCAAATGAAGTCATACTTCAGGCAAGGCTACCTAATTATGCACATCAATTCATTATGCATACCAATTTTATCCTAAAGCTTATCTCAATACCACTCCCTCACACACACCCAAGGCAGGGCTAAGGATAACTTTTCTTGTCATGGCTGCATTGACTGAATTCAGTCCTTGTCCTTTTATTTTATTTTTGGGAGTATAATATAATTACATCATTTCCCTCTTCTCTTTCCTCCCTCCAAACTACCAGATGTATTTACTCCTCCTTGCTCTCTTTCAAATTCATAGCCTCTTGGGTTGGGGATTTAGCTCGGTGGTACAGCACTTGCCTAGTAAGTACAAGGCCCTGGGTTCGATCCTCAGCTCCAAAAAGAAAGAAAGAAAGAAAGAAAAAACAAATCAAATTCATAGCCTCTTTTTACAGTAATTGTTGGCACATACATCTATGAACATGTACATAGATTCCTAAATACATAAACACTACCCGGCTCAATCTTCATAATGCTATGCCCATGTTTTCAGGGCTGACCATTGGTGCTGTAAAATCAGTTGGTGTGCTCTTCCCTAGGTAAGACTATTCCTTCCACTCTCCGCATTCCTTATTTTTCTTTAATTCTGTGTGTAAGGTTGATGCCTGCTGTGTTTTAAAAACTGCGGGAAGGCTTTGGCCAAATGGAAGAGCAAACTGAGAAGTCAAAACTCCACACCTCCTGTGGTATGAGGCCTTTCTCCAGCCTACCTTTTCTGGATTGAGTTGAGGTGCGGGGCCCTGGGAGAGAACATGGAGACTCTTTGGGACACAGGGCTGCTGAAAAGGGCCACGTGGTTCAGTGACCTCTGCTCGTCTAAATGACCACAGCGTGGATGACCTGATAGGTATATGGACCTGCTCACTCTCCCTAAAACACAGGTTGTAAACCCCAGAAGGCTGGGGCATGACAGGCAACATCACACCTTCTCATTAGGCCCTAGAAGGAGATGCCAACAGATAATTTTCATCCCATCCAACATACCTCTGGGATAAATTGGTTTCCCTCTTAAAAAAAAAAAAAAAAGAATGAGAATTTCCATTTTAATTACATAAGCACAAGATTGCTGAAACTCAGACAATTTTAATCAATACCCAATGGAGGTACTTCAAAGCACTTTCAAATAATAAAATCTTCATGTGATTCAAAAAAAAAAAAAACTGTGGGAAGGAGTCACACCATACAACAGGGCCCGTGTAGGAGGTTTATTGAGAGAAGGGAAAAGAAGGGGGCAGACACCAGACCCAGGGGATGAGAGTGAAGGGGAGGGAAGGGAGAGGGAGAGGGAGAGGGAGAGGGGGAGG